TATGCTTTCTTCTTCCTAAACTGTCTGCATCAAGGATGGGTTAGTGTATGAACCACTTCTGTCAGCTTTCCATCAGCTGGAGCTCTTTTGCATCTTAGGAATTCCCTGTTGTCCACTTATGAAAAGAATGGATGGTGTAAAGAGCCTTTGCTCTGTCTGCCTGGTAGATCACTTTATGCTAATGAAAGACCCAGCAGAAAATCTACCCCCACTGCCCTTTGTCCTGCAAAATGTTTAAAAATTCACCTTGGTAGAGACAATGCAAGTTAACTGTATAACCTGCCGAAGCGGGACTGAACTGTGTCCCACATTTAAAATGGGCCACCAATACACCAATAGCAAGTCAGTATTTTTTTGGGGCAAGCAGCTGTTTGGGTGAACAGAGCTCAACAAGTTAGAGACAAGTACACATGAACTGGTACATTTGAAGCTAGAAAATAATATAGCAAGGTCAGAGATGGCCTGTAGATCTCTATCCCGTGAGAAGCTAACCTGAAAATAAATAACATCTATAGCCTATTTTGGGAGACAGGCACCTATCTACCATACTAGAGAGAAGTTCTTCAACTAAAGTACCTGCCCCAATGGTGGCTTCGTGCCCAATGCATGTTATTTAGATGGATGCTATAATTGTCGGTCTAAGAAATGTCAGGTTTTTTAGATGTTTATAATGTGCTGTTTCCGAAAGGGAGAACAATCAATTACTTTAAGTGCCTCTCTGGATCGTCAGCACTCAGCAAAAACGTACTCATAAAACATTCTTCAGATAATACATTAGTAATTTGGACCTTCACTCTGAAGTGTTTCACGTTTCATGCCTTCTGTTATTGCCTTTTAACAACGAAGTTTCATGGTTTGTTGCACAGAATATTTTTCACTATTTAAAAAAAATTATTTTGGTGCCTCAAAGGACTTATACTAACTCAATCTAATTTGAATCATAGAACCATAGGAAATAAGCGTGGAAGGAAATATATGCCAACCCCCAGCCCCAGGCAGGATCATGTCTATCTAAATGACTCCAGAGATATGTTTATGTAAATCGCACTTAAAACTTCCAATGACAGAGATTTCATAATCTCTCTCAACAGTTTGTTATACTGTTTGACCCTCCTCATAGTTGGTGTTCAATGGTGGCTTCCTAAAAGCCAATCTAGTTTTGTTGCAATTTAACCCCATTATTTCTTGTTCCATCCCCTATTTATGACCCTCTTTATGACAAACTTTATTTTTGAAGACTGTTGTCAAAATCCCCTTCAGACTTCTCTCTTGGCTAAATAAACCTAGTTCCCACAACTTTGCATATATAATGTGTTCTAGACTTCTGATCATTTTACTGTGCTTGGACTCTTTTTAATTTATCCATATCTTTCTTAAATTTTGCTGTTCTAGATAGAGTATTCCCGGTGAGACCACACAATAGTTTGCGATGACTCTTACACAAACTGAGGCAGTTGCAGCCACAGCAGATACTTAGTATTAGTAGACACAAGATGTCACTGAGGTCTAGTATTTAGGAGGAATTAAAAAGGATTAGATATATTGCCTGGATAACAAGAGTCTGTACTTAAGATACTCTCTAATTGTTTGAAATTCTTTAGGATACAACATTTCATACATCACTTTCTAAGGCATCTGATACTGGCCACTATCACAGATAGAATACAGGAGACAAGGGCCCACTAGTCAGACATTTTCATTGGAGAATCATAGTTTATAGAGCCCAACATATTTTATTTGAAATATCTCAGATTCAGTGAACTTCACCAAATTGCCAGGGAGCCAACAGGGTCATCAGTGGATTCTTAGCAGACTGCCACAAAGCTCCCATGGCTCCCATATCAGGGGTAGATTGCACCGAGCAAAGTCAGGTACCTACATCACAGATTTCCCTGGTGGACTGTCTGAGAGTCATGTACCCAGTGTTCACAGTGTGCAGCTCTGTGGCAAGCCCACTGGAAAGACTGGCCCAGCTCTGTGCTTCAAAGGCCTCCAGCCCTGGCACAGTCCATAGGGTGTGACTCCAGGGTTCCTGGTGTAGTCCAGGGTCTTCAGTTCATAAGCAACAAGCCATGGCAGAGTTTCCAGGCTCTCTATGTGAAGCCAGGCCCTGAAAGTCCTGGGAACCATCTCTCCACCTGGGACTCCACTCCTACCTTTGCAGCAAGAAGCCCAGAAGCCCTGAGAATCCTAGCTTTAGTAAGAGCACTCAGAACATCTAGACTCCCTGTTGAGGGGCTGAGCCTTAATGCCTGAAAGTCCCAGTACAGGTTCCTGCGCCATGTGTGGCTCTGGGGCTACCTCAACACCACAGATTTTGACAGGCCTAATGGCTGCTCAGTTCTATCAACACAGACAGCTACAGGGTTTAGGGAGCTGGGAAAGATGTGATATATTTCAAAACATATTGGCTTTGGACCAAAATCACATTTTGAAAAAATTAAACTTCCCGTGAACCAGAAACCCTGATGTCTGGTCATCTGTAGGTCACTGGTCTGATCCAGTATAGCAGCTTTTAGACAGGCCCAATTCATTGCTGCCTGTTCCTTAAATAGTCCTTTTCACCCATGCAAAATGGGCATTGATTTTGGGCTAGTATGAACAATGGCATAGCATTCAGGGCAATAGGAAAAGGGGCTCTGAATCACTACTTTATAAACAAAGAGTTAGCTCCTTATTTGGTGCAAAGAAAATAGCTCAATTGAAGCCAAAGTCTCTTCACTCATTTATAGCAGTGGAGATCTAGCCCAATAGATTTGGATTCCCCCTTGCACTGGTTTTACATTGATCAAACTGTAATGATTCTGGTTGATTTGCTTTGTGCTTATTATAGTTTGCAAACAAGTTTTATGTTTGATGCAGGTTTTATGCTTGATGGTCTTACAAAAATTCAGGGAGAGCTGATCTGGAAAAACTATCCTGAGACACAATTTGGAATGATTTGCAAAACTAAACAGTAAATGCTGTTGTCATGCACAGTACACTGTTCCCATGATACTGCCAGTCTGAATCAGTGTCTTTCTCTCTGCCCTATATAGGCAGCAGAAGGGGGTAACTAACTGGGCTCAGCCCCCCACCCCCAAATGCAGGGGGCAGCAGGTATGGATGGAGGGAAGCCTGGCCACTGGCTTCTGCAGCAGTGGGGAAGGGCACACACATTCAGATACTCTGTGCAGCCAGGATCGTAGTCAGCTCAACAGGCATGTAAGTTTCTTTCTTTACCTGGGCTTGGGGGAGGAGGACAGACTGAGACCCCTACACTGCAGGAGTCAGTGGCGTAGGGGCAGGAGCAAATCATTCACCCCTGTCCATTCCTTGCTGCACTGCATGGATTGTCTGATGACCCGGCCCAGTTGGGGCCCCATTCACAGTGAATGGGGCCCCAGCCGGGCTGAGTCCTGGAACAATCAGAGCCCAGTGGATCCTCCAGAGGCGTGACATGGCGCCAGGAAGCCAAGTGGGGGGGCACGTGCCCCCGATCTTTGTATGGGGCAAGAGCGGGCCACAGCTGTGAGCTGGACTCTGCCTCCTCCCAGCCTCCACACCTTGCTGCCACTGCTTTGAAAGCAGTGTGGCATGGTGCCATATGAGTCCCACCGCTGCAGTGAGGCACATGGAGATGCACTGCGCCACACCACGCCACTTTCAAAATAGAGGCAGCAAGGCACGGAGGCTGGGAGCAGGCAGAGCCCAGCTCACAGCTGAGGCCCACCCTTGCCCCATGCAAAGATTGTGGGGGCACTTGCCCCCCCACCTTGTTTCCCAATGGCATGCCATGCCTCTGGAGGAGCTGCTGAGCCCTGATTGTCCTATGGCCCGGGATCATGGGGCAATCATCTAGGGGCAGGGTGCAGGGAAGCCAAGAGGGAGGAACATGCTCCGGCTCCCCTGCAATACACACAGCAGCGGAAGCTGCCTACCCACTCTACTGGAGCAGTTGCTGGGCTCTGATTGTCACATGACCTGGCCCAGCCTTAGCACAGCCCCAGCCCCACTCCCTGCCATGGCCCTTCCCCTTCTCCCTGCCCTTTCCCCTGCAAACTTTCCCATGGGGAGGGCACACACATGTGCACACACACTTAGCCACCCCCAAATTCTTTTCTCCCTCTGCCTATGCTGCCCTACCTTTACTTTTAAGATAAGATGAACACTAACAGCTATCCAAGGTAAATTAACTATGCACCTGGCCACTGAGGCCTACATTTGAAAATTCAACCCAGCATGACCTGGGGTCTCTGGGCTGCTGCTGGAGTCTCTTCCTTCCCTCAGCCTTCATTTCCTACTCCCATCACAGTAGGTGGAGTGGTGCACCCCATGCCAGGGGAGTCCATGGTGCACTACAGTAAAGGAGCCAAGGTGGGGCCATGAACGCAGTAGGTAGGGGTGCTGTCCATGCCTAGTGCAGTGGGGTTTCATAGATTTCATAGACATTAGGGCTGGAAGGGACCTAGGAAGATCATCAAGTCCAGCCCCCCGCCCAAAGGGCAGGAAGTCAGCTGGGGTC